ATAATACCAGTATGATGGTGATGATAATGATAAACAGTAATAGGAATAACGGTAATGAAATCAATGATTATATAATAATAATAATACATGATTTTGATTTCGAACAGAATATAACATGCATAAGAACATATAAGGGAATAAAGCGTATTTTCACAGGTAACCTGCCATCTACAGACACACACATCAATTTAAAATGTTGATATGGAGTTGCGCTTAATAAAAAAGTTGATATGGAGTTGCGCTTAATAAGATGTTGATATGGAGTTGCGCTTAATAAAATGTTGATATGGGGTTGGACTTATAGACATGGCTTGGCATCACGGAATCGATGGTAGAAAAAAAAAATCAGAATAGAATAATGCACCAATTTGGAAGTATGCACGTATTTACATATTTCTTACGGCCAACATGACTGTTTATAGTTATTACTTTAGATTTTATTTAGACTCAATTCCAGATATTTTGATGAGAAATGAATGCATCTCCACTACGAATGTTGCTTATTGAAGATATCTGTCTCAGGAGCATCTATCTTATCAGAAAACTTTATATAAATTCAGCTGATTCATCTTGTCGAGGTAACATATAACTGTTTGCCTTTACATCCACAAATAAATAAGTAAATTAAGAAAAAATCGTACGGAATAGGATATTTTTGTATTTTTTGTTTTGTAACGTATACTTTCATATTGCTTGCTGTGACATGAAAACACACAGATGTTCGTTGCTTGAAGTTTCACTAAGGAAACCACGAGTCGCGTGTTTGCCAGTCTGGCGAATTCTAGATTTTGTTATTGATTATCTCTTTACATTTCATTTTTCCCCCTTTTGTTTGTCTGACTGTCTGCTCTGTCTCTCTCCCTACTCGCCTTCGCTTTTTCATTATATATATAATAATAATTATTATATATTATATATAATATAATATATAGATGATAGATAGATAGATAGATAGATAAGATAGATAGATATATATATAATATATATATATATATATATATAATATATATATATATATATAATATATATATATATATATATATATATATATATGTATATATATATATATATATATATATATATATATATATATATTATATATATGTATATATATATATATATATATATATATATATAATATATATATATATATATATATATACTTATATATATATATATATATATATATATATATATATTATATATATATATATATGTATGTATGTATGTATGTATGTATGTATGTATGTATATATATATATATATATATATATATATATATTATATATATATATATATATATTTATTTATATATATATGTATATATGTGTATATATTTCTTTCCCTTCCTACCCATTTGTTCTCCCTCTCTCTCTCCAGCCCGCCTTCACTCTTTCATACCATCACTATCTCTCCCTTCCTCCCTGTTTCTTCTCTCTCTCCTCCCTCCCTTCCTTCCTTCTTCCCACCTTCCCTCTCTCTCTCTTCCCTCGCTCCTTCCTTCTTCACACCTTCCCTCTCTCTCTTTCCTCCCTCCTTTCCTTCTTCCCACCTTCCCTCCCTCCTTCCTTCTTCCACCTCCCTCCCTTCCTTCTTCCCACCTTCCCTCCCTCCTTCCTCTTCCACCTTCCTCCCTTCCTTCTTCCCACCTTCCCTCCCTCCCTTCTTCTTCCCACCTTCCCTCTCTCTCTCTTCCCTCCTTCCTTCCTTCTTCCCACCTTCCTCTCTCTCTTCCCTCCCTCCTTCCTTCTTCCCACCTTCCTTCTTCCTTCTTCCCACCCTACCGTCAAACCGCACGTGACAAGCGAGAGGGTGTGATTGTAATATGTGATAATGAAAGTGATAACCTCTATTCTTATTCTCTCAGTGTTTCGTCCGTTCGTTCGCAAATTATACCTACATGTTACGACTGAAATTGTATTCCACGTGACTACAGAGTTGAAGTCGTTTCATTCTCACAACTTAAATATTACACAGTGACATTTCACACACACGCACATGCGTCGAGCGCGCATGCATCAAAGCATCATATTACGAACCTTGTTATTATTGTTATTATTATTATTATTATTATAATACTGATAATTATCATGATACCATTATAAATAATAGATTATTATTATCATGAATATTAGTTATTATCTTTATAATGATTGTTATTATTATTATCATCATCATCATCATTACAGTTGTTATTACCATTATCATTATCATCATCAGGTTCACTGCCCTCAAGTAAGCAGACCTTCAGTTTCTGAACATTTATTATTTTACACGACTATCCGAGGGGGTTGAGAAGGAGGGTAGGAGGAGGAGGGGGGGAAGCAAGAGAGATGCTGGAGGAAAGAAAGTGGAGGAAGGGGATGGAGAAAGGAAGGAGGAGGAATGAAGGGGATAAAAAAGAGGAAGATGGAGAAAAGAAGGGGAAGATGGAGAAAGGAAGAGGGAGAAGAAAGGAGGAGGATGTAGAAGAGAGGGGAAGCTCAAAGAGAAGTGGGGG